CAAATACCAAAATAACTTTTAACCACAATTAAATATAGTACAATCACAACTAAGTATAATCACAGTACTTCATAACACTTCATAACAATCTCAAACACACTTTTAATCCTTAAAAAATAAAAAAATAAAAACAAAGGTCGTGGACACGGGATGAATGATATTGGGCTGAACATACAGCTAAGCCATAAAGGCCCGTAGCCCAATATCACAATTTTTAATTTTTTTTTATTTTTTAATAAATTTTTGCGTCCAAAAGTCAGTTCTTCTCCGCCAAATCCTTGGGCCTTAACGCAGAAGAAGCCGACGTTGGACGTTGACAGGGAATTCAAGTCCAAATCCGACGTAGCAAAATAGCTGACAAGTTTCCATTTGATCCTCAAAACCTCGCTCCTTCTTCATGATTCGACCCTCAAAGGTTCCACGTTTCGTTTACATTCTCAGAAACCCCTTTTCCCTCTTGCATTTTGGGTTTTCTGAACTGAAACTGGTCAAAATGAGACAACTCTTTTTGGTAATTTCTTATGCGAAAGTAAAGAAATTGTGATTTATTTGAGTAGGGCTTACTCTGCTGTACCTTGTAGATGATCTGCTGAGCCAAAATTTTTATGGTTTCACTGGGTTGTGTTTTTTGGTCTAGGATTTGCAGATTTTTGTTTTTGGTTTCGGTTTTACTATTTATCTAATTTTCAGTTTGTAATGTCAATTAAATGCGATGCGATGCGAATTGCGGATCTTGCTGATCTTTTTAGTGGGAGACTCTTTCAGTTCTTTTGTAAAATGAAAATTTTGATGACTAAAATGTCTCCAGAAGTAGTCAGTCTTGAAGATCATCATTGTTCCAACAATGTTGAAGGTTTGTGATGTTATATCTTGTGACAGGCATTATGATTCTTTGGAAGTTTGTTAAGAAGTTAATTTCTTGATGTCCTGGATAAGGCTGATGATGTTGTCAGGCTATTGTCTAAAAGCCATTATGGACCTTGTCGGGCACTGTTACCATGGGGCTTGAGAGCGATGCGTGGAGGACCATTGGAAGTGTCTGTACCCTGTGCTCTTGAGAGAACTCGATATGGGTGTGTTGTTCGCATTGAGTTAAACTCAAAATTTAAAGTTTTATTTATTAGTGTTATGTTATGCTGTATTATAACATAGTTATAAATATTTTTGTCTTTTATAATCTTAAAATTATAAAAAATATTAATTAAAATTAATAAAAATATATCACACTCATATGAGAGCATTGAGTAAAAAAAAGTAAGCCGCAAAAGCTCATGGTATCATCCTCAAATCTCCTTTACATCTTTGTTGTGTCTGGATGTCACATTCTTAGTCCTAGCATTGTCAGTTGATCCAGAATCATCTCCATATCTGGCCGGTTATCGAGGATGAAGATATAGAAGAGGAAAATGAGAAATTAGAATTGGAAATTGGAACTGACAAACTTCAAGATCTGACTCCTGAGACTTGTAGTACTGATGCAGCAGAATCTGCTTCACACAATTGAGTCAACAAGTCAGGATTCAAAAAATCTCATTGATGCCTGCATGATTGTATACTTGATAGAATTGTCAATCATTTGATAACTCATTTTCTTTGTATAATCAACCTCAAGCTGCATGTTTGTAATCTAGAATCTTCAGATGCTTTGTGCCTGTGAAGTTGGTTTAGAGCTTCACCCATACGTTCAATTCTGCATTTTTATGGAAAGACTGCCCAACAATAGATAGATCATCAACATCATGCCATTGCCATGAAATCCATCTTGAAATGCTGGCCATGACCAGAATAGCCACCACGGTTCTCAGACAAACAATACCACCAGTGCCAGCGCTACTCTGCAGACCAGTTTCAACCGTCCTTCCTAATCCAAACGCTAACAAAAACCCACCTGCAAAATCTCCGTACTTTCATTCCAACAATTCTCCTTCAGCGATAGCAATCTCCTGTGCAGCTGCCTTTTCTCTCTAGTTAAATTGCCACCACAATTCAACTTATCCTGTCACTTGGAACAGTTTGTCACAGGCAATAGCTAAAGTCTAGTGATCAATCATTCTTTGCACCTCCTTGATTCTTCCAGATTTCTTGTTTCTTCCTGGAGACAGAATGCAAAATATTGAAATGAATTGGAAGACGGTAGTATGGAAATGCTAAACAGTTTGTCATTTAAAAATTCTGTAACTAAATGCAGTACATATGATTTCTAACAAAATGTACACACCTGACAAGATTTGTTGATCTGTGAGCGTTCAGCGATCGTGCTGCTCATCTTTTCTGCATAATGTTTAGGGTTCTCACTTCTTCTGACCAGAAAGGGGAGCAGAACACTGAAATTCCATTGGAGCTGGAACTTGAGATGTATCAAATTTTGGGATCGAGTGGATGGAAGGACCTCCAGGAAAAAATACTAAACGTGAACATGAAATAGACATTGGTAGTACTTGACCGGGGCACCCCAGCATGTTTAGTCTAGCTTCTGTGATCCCTGGTGGAGCTGTGGCTCTTGAAAATGATGAAGTTGGGAACTGAATTGGGCAGCAGCCAAGACCCATCTGCATTCTCATATCCATCCCAGCAACCATTGGAGAGTAAGCCAAATATGGTGTGTTTATTTGTTGCATTGTCATTGGTAACATCAGTGGAGGCATAAAAAGGCCACTCCTCATTGAAATTATCTGCCTCAGTGTAACACGGTTCAGAGATCAGCTTTGATTTTAATGGCACCAATAACTTCAATGGAAGAAGAATAACAAGGGATACCTGTAATTGAAGTTGAAGGGTCTTTATGTACACAATCGCATCATCAAGGATTGTAACTTCATCCACCTTAAAATCACATGTAGCAGAAACAATCAAGATCAAAATACATCGGATGGAAATTGTAGAAGAGCATGGGATGGGGGTGAGTATGGAGTTGCAGGTTGATGCAGATGATGTTGACAATAGTTGGTTCTATTGTAGTAAATTAAGTGCAGTGGCTAACCTTGTTGCAATTGGGTATTAGCTCTTGCAATGCACGCATCTTCCTTTTTCTTCGTTTCTGTTTCAAAAAATTCCAAATAAATCCTTAGATTTTATTGCATATTTTCTCAGATCTTTTTTTTTTTTTTTGCTTCATCGTGCCCTCTGGTTCTTCAGAACCATTTTGCACCGAATATAGGTATCTTAGACTCAAGGAAAAGAATAAGATAAGAAAAGATAGCCTGCAGGTGAGTTTGAACTTTTCATACCTCACTTAGATATGCTGAGCCCTCAGGGTCTTCATATTTCCTCTTCAAACAGTTCCTTGGATTATTTGAAGCTCCCTGGGAGCATATTGAAGATGATGCAATCAGCTGCTGAATAGATTCTCTATTTGAAGGCTTTTCCTTGGATGTGTTTTGTGTTAGTCCCAAGGATTGGCCATGAACCTGATCTGAGGACTTCTTATTGGTAGGATCATCTTTATAGCCAACAGCTACAGATTGCTCATCAGGAGCTGACTCATTTGGAGGCTCAGGATCTGGTTTTGTTGGCTTGAGTTTGGTTGGCACTGAACTTGGTTTATTTTGAAGATTTCTCACACTTCTTGTTGCATTTCCAGGAATTGAGTCAACTGCAGGAATGCTACTTCTTGGAGCTTTCAAACCCTTGTTTCCAGATAAACCCAGACATCTCGTTAGTCTCTCTGAATCTTGACACTGCTGCAAGGAAGACCGAGGTACCTGACCGTTGCTTATCGTCTTATGTTGATGAATCCCCTCAAAAAACTTTGATGCATAATCTTGTTTATGATTTGCAAATGGAAAACCTTGGGAATCTATGAGTTGGTTATCATAAAAACCACTGTCATGTTTGTGTTTTGCAAAACTTTGTACGGAATCAACTTGGGAATCCGTGTGTTGCTTGGTGTAACATTTTTCATGTAATAACTCAAAAGAATCGTCCATTTGTTGCAGAGAACTGTCTTGCATACAATTTGGGTAAGAAGAGTTCAACTTATTATCCTGATGAGTCTGACTGTAGAGGCCTAAGAAGGAGTTTCCTGAGACAGAATCTGCAGTATGGTATCTTGACCTCTCTCCATCACATGGTGGATTCTTTTGAGCTATTTTTGACAGGCTTCGAAGGAGAAGCTGACCATTTTCCCACACCAGCTCTTGAATATCATGATCGCGCCTGCATCAAAACTTTCATCAACATCGATATATAAACAGAAGAATCAAACTAAGTCTTCGGATGCGAGATAAAAAGAAGAGCTTACATGGATGCCAAGTTAGTCAACTGGCAACTCATCTTCGTTCCTACTGATTCTTGAACCTCTTCTGCAATTGGGTAGGTTAAAATAGTGGGGATCACTACTTTAGTCTTCAAAAGCTTGAGGACCTAAACTGTTCTTTGAATTAAAAGCAATGGTAGCTGATTGTAACCCACCTAATTAACAACCTACTTTTTCTTTTTCTTTTCCTTTTTCTTTTTTTTTTCATAAACCATATCCTGTTCCTCAAAAAATTCAAACATTATCCTTTCAATCATTCCAAAAATTATCAAAGAAATAAAAAAATAGTTGAAGTATGAGAAAATTGCTCTGGTCTCAACCTTAAAAAGTTAAAAATATATATTTTATTTATGTGAACATTGCCATATTGAGTGGGAAGTTATGGGTCTAAAAAATGTTACAAAAAAAAAAAAAGGGAAAAAGTTGCTATACTCTTCTAAGTTTCAAAAACTTAGAAAAAAAGGATTGAAGCATGAGAAAATTTTTCTACCCGAGGCCCTACTCTGGAGTGGACCATAGACCTTGGTTTCACCCTTGCTGTCCGGTATTCTTGAGACTGACCGCCCAACAGAATGACTCCATGTAAGCTTATCTGTAACTCTTTCCTGAATGGAATCCTAGAAATCTACTCATTCATATATATTACTCCAAAAACATCATCAGAGCAAGAATCAAGATCTAACTTTGATGTTAAGGCCAAACAATTCAAGCATGTTATATCTCATATAATCGGTGACTCACTGTATGCTGTTTAGGTGTCCAGTACTCCAGCACTCAACGCCACATCAACAAAGAAGATACGTATATCCTAATATGATTTTGACAGGCTTCCGAAGAAACTATATCACCCAAACTAACGCCGTGCCAAGACAAACCACAAGCTCCTTTCTGGGGTAAATGATTCTCAAATGCTTCAGAGAGATTCGTTCACATGGGATTCCGTTATCTTGTAAAACCTTTTTGTTCCCAGCAAGAAACGATCAAAAGATTTATTGAACCGGATTATAACAATTAGAAAAGTATACTTTTTTTTTTTTTGTACAGCTTGTACTTTTTTAGGTCATTTAAATATTAAAATTGTTAAAATATTTTTAATAAAAATACTTTTTATATTTATTTATTAATAATATTTTAATAATTTCAATACTGAAATTTTATTAAAAAAAATGCAATACATGTTAAAAAATACTTTTCTCAATAGCAAAACACTTGAATATAGTACAATTTGAGAATCTAGAGACATCACGGGGTTCCAAAATTAGGACATTATTATGCTTTTTAAGCTTGATTAACCTTTTTTTTTTGGGGGGCCGTCAAACCAACTAGGTATTCACTCTTGTTCAATTTTAATAAGAGGAACAAATGGCACTGCTGTCCTGACCTGATAATTATATATTAATTGTAATTAAGGTGTAACCCCTTGTACTTAGTTTTTTATTAAAAATATTATTCGGCTTTTCAAAAAAAAAAAAAAAAAAAAAAAGAAGGTGTAACCCCAGTCCCATAGTTAGGGTTAGAATCTCCCTCCTCCAAAAATTATAACTTGTTCAAAAAAAACAAAAATCCATGGGGCAAGGGGGCCACATATGTGATATGTAATATTTTATTTTTAGTAATTTTTATAATTATTTTATTGTAGAAAAACAGTTATTGTTTTCTTTATATAGTATTAGAATTGGCTTATACTTGAATTGTGATTTAGTCTTTGATAGTAACATAATTGAGAAAGTTTGAATTTTTGTAGCTATGGGATAATGAGTTATGAAAGAGAATAATATCTTTTTGTTTTACATACTAAGTGTGGCAAAAATCTACTTTTAATCCCTTACCTTATCAAGTTTGAAAGTTTTAATCCCTCATCTTATATTATAA